TTTTTTTTTCAACATTTGTGGCACTGGCGTGGCGCCCCCTGATGGACGGCGCCCTTAGCATTTGCCTATACGGCCTATGCCACGGGCCGGCCCTGGAGAACAGCCTAGTATTGGCTCAACTTCAGCTTCTCACAGGCTAGTCGCATTTCCGGGTTGGGAAAGCAAACATCTGCTCTCGGTGCACTACGTCATTGACTTACTGGTTGTGAATTGATTTAGACTGAAATTGGAGATAGCTACTCTGTTGTAACACTGGGAGCTGTGCTTCAACAGTTTATAGATGCTAGTGATGGGGTTTCTGGCTCTTTTTAGAGAACCGGCTCTTTCGGCTCGGCTCACTAAAAAGAGCCGGCTCTGAACCGCCTCTTCAGGTTGTTTTGTTGCTCTAATTAATTTATTATTAACAACAATATACAATTATGCACAAAAGGAAATACTAATATAAAATACGTGGTTTTATTTATATGTGTTGATATATAAATATATGCTGTGGACCGAAGAAACAAAACAGTACAAACTCCAAAACACATTTCTAGCGTTAACTGAACTTCCAAAACAGAGCTACCGAGATCAATTAAATAACACAATTGAAAGCTCATCACATTCGAGTGCTTTGTGCTCGGCAACATGATAGACCCTGTGCTAAAACACAGCTCGCGATGAGGAGCCGGCTCCCGTCGTTCACGTCAAAGATCTGGCTCTAAGAGCGATTTCGTTCGCGACCGATGCAGCCAGCCATCTTGGTGAATCTGAGGTGATCATTTTGGGGGGAGAAAAAAAAATTATTAAAATGGGAACGCTTTAGTTCCTTGTCTCGTCAGGTCATCCTGCACATTAAGCTATGGCTCTTTTGCTTATATTGCACAGTGAAATGGCTCCCCCCGTCGTCATATATGACAATACACGCACTCTATACGACAACAATAATAATCAGTGTGTTATAGATTGTAATTCACATTGTAAATGTTAGCGCGGGGGTTGTGATTAGAGGATAACTCTTAAGTTGGTGTGGCTCTTAAAAGAGCCGTTTTATGAAATACTGGAGGTTTACTTCGCCTTCTCAGTTTTCTTAGGAAGAAGCACGGCCTGGATGTTGGGTAGCACACCACCCTGAGCGATAGTCACTCCACCCAACAGCTTATTCAGCTCTTCATCGTTACGGACAGCCAGCTGCAGATGACGGGGAATGATCCTGGTCTTCTTGTTGTCGCGGGCAGCGTTTCCTGCTAGCTCTAGAATCTCAGCGGTCAGATACTCGAGCACAGCCGCTAGATACACTGGTGCTCCAGCACCAACGCGCTCTGCGTAGTTCCCCTTCCTCAACAGCCTGTGAACACGACCCACAGGGAACTGAAGCCCGGCTCGTGAGGAGCGAGACTTTGCCTTAGCTCTCGCTTTGCCGCTTTTGCCACCACGTCCAGACATGTTTAAATCTTTTTCCGTTTGCCGAGGAGAAACAGGATACTGTGTAGCAGCAGAGTCTCACTTTATATCGACGCCATCGGCCTCTTCCTGATCGCTCATTGGCCAGCTTGCGCTTCAGCGGGATGGTCCAATCAGAAACAAAAACGTAGTCCACTCTGTGACAAACAAGATCTCAGGGAAATGTGAAACACAAAGGACTTCGAAAAATACACTAGGTTGTAAGATTATATTTACATTGTATATTCATACAATGTAAAAAGGATACGAAGACCAAGGTTATTACAATAAACTAGAGCCAAATAAAAACTGTTTGATACAGCACTGACAATAAACATTCGCACAAAAATTAGAAATAAATAAAAATAAGGATGATTTTTTTTGTTTTTTTCTGCCTGTGTATTTACATTAGGAGGCTTCAGTCCACATGTACATCAGCATTTTTTTCTTTTTTTTTGCTTTTACTTTGAAAAATAATCACATGAAAACACAAAAATGTCTTAAGGTTGATCGATATAAGATAATTGTAACTGAAGGACATTATGTTCAAAGGTTCTCCTGATCAGTGGTATTGTTAGTTCTGTTTCCTTCAGTGAATGATGAATTCCAACTCACCCCGGCGTATGTTGACCACTGAGGGTGAAGAAGCTGGATGAGCATCTCCAAGGGTGGAGCACCTCTCCAACAAGCTTAAGGGTGGAGCACACACTCTGGGTCATGGACAAATTGCTTCTCTAAGTGGAGGAGTTTAAGCGTCTTGGCATCTTCGGGTCTAGGGGGAGTTATTCTGGGGGTTTTTTTGTGGTGAAGCAAGAGCTCAGTATGACTGGCTGATCTCTGTACCTGGGTCCAGCTTTGTGGACAACTTTATACTTCTTTTTTGAAGTCCACTTGCAATCGTAGGATGGCCCCTGTGGCCCAGACCCATAAGTAAAAGAAAATGTATGGATGAATATTTTTATTTAATATGAACAAACCCCTGTAGGAATAACAATTATGATAAAAGTAAGAAAATGTTGTTACTTTTTTAATATTAACAAAGTCAATAGATACTTTGTGTTATTAAAATAAAAAAATGAAAAGTTAGGGTAGCAAACATTCATAAATAATGTCTGTGTTCTTTGCAAGCTCCTTTGATTCATAAATAATCCACTGCAGAGCAACCACATGTGCACTGTGAAGTTGATATTTCTGATTCAACTTCACATGGAGTGGAACAGAAGAGGAAGAGGAACATAAGAGTAATCCGGTTAAAGTGAACATAACAGAAGTTGAACTTTATCTTCTCTTAAAGAGAAGGCCCTGGTGTCTGACAGTAGAGTTGAGTGGAGTAGAACAGAGTAGAGTGATGGAGCCTTCCCAACATCCTCCTGATTGGCAGTGAGATGTCGGCCATCTTGGATTGTAGCGGGGAAGAAGGATTGATGCGGTGAGCTCCTTTTTTATTGCTTTAAAATCTTTTTTCGGGAGTTTCGGGTCTGAGGGTCCTTTAAATGAACCCGAGTTTGTGTGCTCGCTGCAAAGACCCAGCTGGTGAAGGGCGCAGTCGGGAACAGTACGGCTCTGAACGGCGCGGCCCGGTTTCGGTGCTTTTTGTTGTTGTTTTGGGGAACTAACAGCGGAGGCGCAGCAGGCCCAAACACGGACAAAAGCACACCTGCCCGCAGTTCTCCTCTCAGCCCCATTTTCTGTCCGTACAGCAGCGTCTATCCCGGTGTTACCGAGTCGTTAAACCGTAATTTAACGACCTCCGGGTTTCCAATTAGATGCTTTTCTACGTTCACATAAATGCAACAGCTAGCTTAGCTTCTATGCTAACAGCCCCATGTATTCCTATGACAGAAGCTGCTAGCCTGTGTGCGTTGCTCAGCTAGATAGCTGTAGCGTCTGACACATTTTTAACGCTAAAGAGATAACGCTTGCTGATAACTGCTGTTTCCTGGAGACCTGCAGTCAAATAGCAGCACACGGCGGGACAAGCCGGCTCATTTAGTTCTGTCAGGAAATTCTAATATTGGAGTTAACGCTAATCAGACACACTAGCAGCGCTAGCCTTAGCGCTCTAAGCTAACATTAGCCGTTTTTGCGACACTGCTGCGCCTTCAGCGCCGCTTAGAAACGAGACAGACAGACAGGCAGACGACTGGGCTTCGGCTGCAGGGATAAAAGGAAAGTTTGTGAGGTTTTTAACTCGTTATAAAACCTCAGAACCGAGCAGGATCTCAGCTAGCCGTTGTTAGCTGGGATTGCACCTGCTTTAGGAGGCGTCGCTTATCTCTGTTAGCATCGCTTTGTGTTTTAGTGGAAGGTTTGACACATTATGGAGATTAGCTGGTGCTTTATGTTATGAGATGTGATGTTTTGATATTACTTTTGGCTAATGTGCAGTTTGTCCTCACAAACACACCAGTCTGGTTGTTGATCAGTGATTTAGTAGTGGAGGCTTTTACTGTAAAAAACAGAAACGTCCAGCAGACTTCTTTCACTCTGAAAGTTAAAAGAACTAAGCGTTCAGAGGCTTAAAGATGTGTAGTCGGTTGATTTTCTGTAGTTGTTAAACAGTGGAAGCTTTCCTCTGTCTTTGTAATTAAAACGTATTCTGGGAAGTATGAGGAGCTGTGGTGGGATACACACCTTTGTCAGTGTTTTAGTTTTGAGCCTTTTTGGTTTGGATGCTTTCAACCTAGGTTCATCTGTTAAAAAGGGGCCAGCTTTGCAGGTTTGTTTGTGGTGACAGTCTTAATTCAGATCAGAGTCTACAGCTGCAACTGCTTCACTCAAGACTCAACAACTCAATTTTTATTAGTGGTTTAGTCAGTTTCTTCTTTCCCTGCTCTCACTGTGAATAAAATCAGGAACCATCAACGCTTAAACTTGTACTAGTCCTTTTCTGCAGTGCTTTAGCTGCCCTGAAAGTTTCTGATCAAGTAAGATCACACCTCTGATATTTTGTTTATTCAAAACATTTTACATACCACAGACATTAAAACCTTTGTGTTTTGACCAGGTGTTTCCCCAGATTAGGTGTGTTTTTGTCACATCTCCGTCTTTGTAACCTGATCTCTCTGTGCATGAATTTGAGAGGGGTGTGACCGGATGATATTACACTGTGCACTAGCACCTGTAATGTCACTTTCGGTGCATGCTGCTTAACCAGAACTTAGCATTTAGCCTAAAAGTGAGTTCACATCCTCATACAGAGTGAGACGAGAGAAGGAAATGGTATTAATCCAGTTTCTGATAACAGGTTACCCTGCCATAGATGCAGTAAAAGCCTCCCAAGCATCTGTGTCTTTTGAGCTTTCAGGTAAAGCAAATATTTAAAACCTGAAGAGAAATGCTGCTGATGTAGTAGCAGCTAAATGGCTCCAAACTGCTGATCAGGGATCAACTGATCTGTTTGGATCACACATCGGCCTCAGAAGCCTGGATCGGGTATCTCTCTCAGTTCAGCCTTATTCTCTGTTTACTTTGCTGCAAGACAGCAGGTGAGCACAGCTATTACACACCTGCTGCACCAACATACTTTCTAAAAAAGGTCTTACTTTAACACTTAAACTGTTATCATGGCTGAAAATGTTCAGAGAAGCTGCTAAAACATGTTTTTAAGTTTGTATTTTTTTGCTCTGACAGTAACACAACATGTTGTTCACAGCATTAATATTGCCTCTCTGCGCCACACTGAGTGAGGAGGTCCACCACAGTGCGACTCAGAGGAGAAACAGTAAACATCAGCTCACAGACACATTTATATCAAGGAAACCTCACAGAGAGGAGTGTAGCTTATTGATTTTTCACTGCTGTCAGCACAACACACAGGGAAGATACTGAAACCTGATCCAGATGTTGGAGTTGGGATCAGGCTGAAAAACATTAAAATGTTCAGTTATTTGTTTGTTTTTGGCAGAAAATGATAAGAAGTAGAATAGAATAGAATACTTTTATTTGTCAATTTCTTCAAATGTACTTGCCATACAAAGGAATTGAAATTACGTTTCACACTGTCCCATGCGTAGACATTGACAACAATAAGGTGCAGATGCACAACAAAAACAGCCCTAACAATAAAGTAATAAAGTAAGTATCTAAGTATCTTTAAAAACAAGCTTAAAACAATTACATAAAAATCTAAACGTAAGCAGTGCAGCTCAGCCTGTAAACCTGAGATTAAGCAGTGAGACTAAATATTATATGAATTTTGTTTTTCTTTTTAAAAATTGAATTTCAATTTTTTTTGTGTTTTGTGAGTCATGCAAAAGTCGTTCCTGAATGAGACTCTGAGCACGCTCAGAAGCAGGTTTCTGGTTTCAGAGCATGAAATGTTCCATGACAGTGAATGACTTCTGTCCAGGTATGACTGGTCTGACTGTTTCCCGTCGTCTTGTCTCCCAGGTGACACGCGGCATGTTTGGTGCTAACCGGAAGAAGTTTATGGAGGGAGGGATAGAGAGTGACTACCCGGACGACTCCAGTCTCTACTACAGCCAGCAGTCCATGTTCCCTCCTCACCGTGCGGACAAAGACGTGAGTCCTGCACGTTCAGCAATCATTACGGTTTATTAGGGCTGCTCGATTATGGCAAAAATGATAATCATGATTATTTTCACTGAAATTGAGATCTCGATTATTTGACGATATTTATTTAACAATAACAATGTTTTGAATAATGACTTCAAAGATTGTCAAAAAAATATAAAATAGTGTGCAAATACTGATAACAGTGCAAATGTTTGCAATATAAAAAATAAATGAAAAATGTAAACATCTATGTTTAGTGAACTTTGCAGTGTTGCTCTGTGGTGCAGCTACGACACTGTAGCAAAGTTTACACACTATGTCTACTTGATCCACGTCTGACTCCGCGAACCCATAATGTTTCCACACCACTGAAGTTTTTTTTACCTCTCTTTTCAACCAACGGCAGTCACTCTCCTCTCCAAATAACTTCTGCTTAGCTTTCCGAGCTTCCCTCGGGTCCTCTTAATCAGCGGTCCCCAACCCCCGGGCCTCGGACCGGTACCGGTCGGTGAGTCATTTGGTACCGGGCCGTGAGAGTTGAGGCTCAGGTGTGAAATGTATAGTTTTCAGGGTTTTTATCGGTTTTCAGCGTTATTTTGTTATCGTTTACTCGGTTTTCCTTGGTCTTTTCACGTGTGTTATGAATAAATTTTCTTTTTTTTCGGTACCGGTACTAGTTTTATTTTGTTGTATTTATCCGCGACACCTTAAAGGCCGGTCTATGAAAATATTGTCGGGCATAAACCGGTCCGTGGCGCAAAAAAGGTTGGGGACCGCTGCTCTTGTGACACGTGTTCGAAATGCAGAGAGGTGCGCTCGATTTGCCACACAGAGCAGCGCGAGAGTAAAGCACGAGGGAGGGGCTAATAATCGGCTCAGTCATTTTTAATGATCGTTGAAAGCCCAGATCGTAATCGAGATTAAAATTTGATTAATTGAGCAGCCCTACGGTTTATAATTATTGTCAAAAACTGCATTTGAGGGTTTGGACATGCTCAGCCAGTCAAGAAACTTCAGAGGCGTTTTATGGATCTTGCACATGTACATAAGGCGTAGTGTCCCATGGCATTACATTTCATTCACATGTGTGAAATTCAGTATCCTCATGTTAAAAAAAAATGCCCTAAATCCAAGTGGAAGTACACAGTATTGAATATAAGATGATATCTTGGGGCCGTTTTTGTCACTTTTTCCAGGTGTTGTACTTCATGCACTAGAAAAAGAAGTATGTCTCAATTTTTCCAAATGATAAAGAAATATGCTGCAATAAATAAAAGAAATCTGTCAGCATAATTCTTATTAGGAAGAAAATGTGTAAAATTACAGAAAAAAAATCTTCTTGCAACTCATTGGCTAGACTGTCCAGAAAATGTCAGTTTTAAAATGTCATTTAAAAAAATCTGAAATTTCTATACTTAGTATTGAAAAAACAGAAACTTTCCAGTCATTTAGTTGTTTATTTATTAATTAATTACTTTAATTTAGTATGAACGGCTGTTGGGGAGGCTTCTATCAGCAGGAAAAGCGCATTAAAGTACATTTAAAAGTGCAAACATTTAAGCCCTCCTTCACATTTTCCAAACCCATTGAGTGGCCAGGCCAGGTTATGCCAGGCCAATCCTGCTCCCCAGGCCTTATATTTGATACCGCTGTCCAAGGGAGTGAGAGCTCTGTGTGAAGCAACACGAGCAAAAACAAAGAAAAATGAGTCTCTTGTTGAAAAAACAGCACACAGCTCGTCTCCCTGTCATCTCTGCCCTCTTCTATTCATCCTCACTTTGTCCTCACTGCCCGGGGATGCAGCACAGAGCCCTTCACAGCTTACCTGAGTGGTTGACAGTAACAGAGCATGCTGCTGCATCTGCAGCTGCTGTGTGTGTTTCTGTGTTTTGATCTGTGTGATTGTGTGTTTGTCCTCCTCAGATGCTGGCGTCTTCCTCTGCCTCCTCTACGGGTCAGCTGTCACAGCTCGGAGCCAGCCTGTACGGCCCGCAGAGTAAGACGGACAGGCACTGACCTGTTTCTGCTGAATAATGTCGACTCATTACTGTGATGTTATCTCAGAGAAAACGTGGGAGAGTCAACCTCGTTTTTCACGCTTGTCTGCTTGCTCTCTCTGTAGGTGCATTGGGGTTTCCCATGCGAGGCATGAACAGCAGTGCAGCTCCTCCATTGAGTCGCAGCGGGCTGAACCAGTCTGCCGGTCAGCTCTCCAGTACGCCCAATGCCGGCTCGATGCACACGCCCCCCTCACCCAGCAGGTACCCCTCACACTGTGTGCTCTCATTATAAGAACTCTCTGTCAGTGTCTCTGCTTCTTCTTCAAACCACAAACTTCTTCCTGCAGGGGAATACTGCCCATGAGCAGCCGGAGTGTGCTCAATCACAACCAGCAGGTGGGGGGTCCAACGGGGCAGTCAGGTGGGATGGGAGGCGGAGAGCGTGGAGGTGGAGGAGGGAGGAGCGGCAGTATGGGGAGTCCCAGCCGGTCGTCACCCAGCATCATCGGGATGCCCAAACAGCAGCAAGCACGGCAGCCGTTTACCATCAACAGGTAACTCGCATCACTGCGGTCCAGATGTGACCTTTGACCTGTGTTGTTAGAAAGGAAGGTTTTCAGCAGCACATCTGGACCGTGTGATGGAGACGAGGGTTCAGGAATGTTTATGATTATTTATGATTTGAAACGATAGAGAGGAAGAGGTCATAATGGCAAAAACCTGTATGAAATTTACGCAAAACCTGTGTGTGTGTGTGTGTGTGTGTGTGTCAGTATGTCAGGGTTCGGGGTGAACAGGAATCCAGGCTTCATGAACAACTCGCTATCCAACAACATCTTCAATGGCACAGGTAACAGAGTGACATCAGAATTTTAAAAAATCTGTCAGCTGTTACCCAACCTGCTGTAATGTGACCTCTCTGAACTCGTTTCAGACGGCAGTGAGAATGTGACGGGGTTGGACCTGTCAGATTTCCCGGCATTAGCTGACAGGAGTCGGAGGGATGGAGGTTCGAATCCCACCCCACTGCACAACCCGCTGACCGGTCGAGCTCCCTACGGTAATACAGAAGGGACATTTATCTGTTTGTGTCCGTTTGTCTAATATAGAGTTGTCCTTTAATTCTACGCAGTGGTCTAGACTTTACAAAAGTCAAGCAGCCAATAAAATGTAAAGAAAATAAAACCATTTATGGAGCTGTTAGAATATTTGCTTTAACTTCAATTGAAGCACGCTGGGGGACAGTGATGAGAAATACGGAACGCTTATTTTAGTGGATTTTCTTCCTTGTTTTATAGTAAACTGAATATTTTCAACCGTTGGTCAAACACAATAGATATTCAATAAAAACCTTTAAAAGTCTTACATTTGCTGCTGATCAGTGTGTCTTTCTGTTGTGTGTTTTGTTAATGTCCTGCAATTGGTCACTTTCTCCAGTTGGCATGGTAACCAAGCCGTCCAGTGAGCAGTCGCAGGACTTCTCCATCCACAACGAAGATTTCCCAGCTCTCCCAGGGCCAAACTACCAAACAAAAGACCCCACCAGCACCAACGAAGACAGCAAAACGGTGACATTTCTGTCTCTCTCCGTCATCCGCTTTCTGCTTCTTTAACTTCCCAACTCATCCTCATTTGTCCCGTCTGTCTCCATCCAATCAGAATCTGAACTCATCGGGAAAGCCAGCCTCTAACTCAGATGGTCCAAAGTTCCCCGGCGATAAGAGCTCTGCACCGAGCAACAACAACCAGCAGAAGAAAGGGATTCAGGTGCTTCCTGACGGTGAGACAGTTCAATCAGATAATCGCTCAAAAGCCAGACATCAGCTGATCTTTGTTTCTGAATGTTAACCCTGAAAATGTTTAGAGTCATCTCTTTGAGAATTTAAAGAGAAAGGAAATGAATGAGACATAAGAGCTTTATTAGTTTATCACAGACTCGAGATAAAATAAGAAAAGCTTAATTTGTCCTTACTGTAGGGAAATACTTTTGTTTCAGCGGCTGAAACTATAATGGAACATGTAAAATCATAAATGTTGTCATCAGATGATGAGTCTGCCAAACAAATGCAGTTTTATGTTGCTATGAAAGGGTTTAATAGGTTTCTGAATACCCAGCTGTGACGTGTTTAACCAAATTAAAAAAGGCCGGAACTGAAAATCGTTAATGTGAATTTAATCTGTGTATTAAAAGAACCTCCGAACACTTTCATCCTCCTTATTTCCCCTCCGTCCTCATCATCCCCAGTCTGTCACAGCAGATAGCTTCCCCACCCTCAGCCTGATGCTGCAGGTGGATTTTGTCTTAAAAGGGAGCTCTTCCTTTGCACTGTTTTTTTTGTTTTGCTTTTGTTCGTCTCATTTAATTAACTCAAAACCATTAGACGGAGATTTTCTTAGTGTGAGTTTGGGTAAAAAAACAAGCAGGAGAGATTTTAAGCTAATCCGTAATCCTCTGTTGTCTTTGTGTCCCAGGGCGAGTGACCAATATCCCTGGTGGCATGGTAACAGACCAGTTTGGAATGATTGGCCTGCTGACGTTCATCCGGGCGGCGGAAACCGACCCCGGCATGGTCCACCTGGCACTGGGCTCAGACCTCACCACACTTGGCCTCAACCTCAACTCGCCTGAGTACGAGTCGCACATGCAAACGCGATTTATAGTCGGAGACGAGCGGCGTCTTTAAAGTTTTTTTTTTTTTTGAATGGCCGCAGCAGCAGCTGAATGACCTGTCACTGTTCTCACACTCAAACCCTCTCTCTCTCCCTCTCTCTGTCAGGAATCTCTATCCTAAGTTTGCATCTCCGTGGGCATCGGCTCCATGTCGACCGCAGGATATAGGTGAGTTTAACACCAACCTGGAAGTAGTGACTGAGGCTATGTCCACACTAAATGCGTTTTTGTTTTCTCCCCGTTTTGGCCTCCTGTCCACATTGAGACCGCGTTTTTCGCTCGAGGAAAACACAGCGTTTTAAAAATGCTCTCGAAAACGCAGAGATTTGAAAACGGTGTGATGCAGTCAAGTGGCCAATTAAACTAAACGGAGGGCATTATACAACAGTTGTTTTGTTTGCTCTCAATTTTAAAGATTTTAAAGATTAATTAAAGATTAAAATTAATCAATTAAAGATTAATATCAGTTTGTACATGCTTCAGATAACTTTTCTTCAAATTCTTTAATTCTCAATTGCTTTTGCAACTTTGTACTTTTGTGTTACTCGCAGCAACAACTCCACCTCATTGTTAGTCCATTTTAAAAACTCTGTGATTTTCCTCAACATTTTGCCGCGACATTTCAAAGAGCCGGAAAGTAAATAAGCGGCAGACAGAAATGAGGCAGGTCGAATCTTCTTGCATTTCACGCATGCGCAGTACTGGAACGTAAGAGTTTTCTGCCGTTTCAATATGGACGCTGTCTATATACACTGAACAAAAATATAAACGCAACGCTTTTGTTTTTGCTCCCATTCCCCATGGGATGGACGTAGAGACCTAAAATTCATTCCAGATACACAATATAACCATCCCTCCCAAACAGTGGTCACAAATCAGTCCAAATGTGTGTAGTGGGCACATCTGCTATATTGAGATAATCCATCCCACCTCACAGGTGTGCCACATCAGGATGCTGATCTGACATCATGAGTAGTGCACAGGTGTACCTCAGACTGCCCACAACAAAAGGCCACCCTGGAATGTGCAGTTTTTTGTGCTATTGGGGGTCTGGGGACCCAGAACCGGTCAGTATCTGGTGTGACCACCATTTGCCTCATGCAGTGCAACACATCGTCGCATGGAGTCTATCAGATTGTCAATTGTGGCCTGTGGAATGTTGGTCCACTCCACTTCAATGGCTGTGCGAGGTTGTTGGATATTCGTGGGAACTGGTACACGCTGTCGTATACGCCGGTCAAGCACATCCCGAACATGCTCAATGGGTGACATGTCCGGTGAGTATGCTGGCCATGCAAGAACTGGGACATTCTCAGCTGCCATCTGCCCTGAACAATGTGAACCATGATTCATCCGTGAAGCGCACACCTCTCCAACGTGCCAGACGCCATCGAATGTGAGCATTTGCCCACACAAGTCTGTTACGGCGACGAGCTGGAGTCAGGTCAAGAACCCGATGAGGACGACGGGCATGCAGTTGAGCGTCCCTGAGACGGTTTCTGACAGTTTGTGCAGAAATTGTTTGGTTGTGCAAACCAATTGTTCCAGCAGCTGTCTGGGTGGCTGGTCTCAGACGATCTTGGAGGTGAACCTGCTGGATGTGGAGGTCCTGGGCTGGTGTGGTTACACGAGGTCTGCGGTTGTGAGGCCGGTTGGATGTGCTGCCATATTCTCTGAAACGCCTGTGGAGACGGCTTATGGTTGAGAAATGAACATTCAATGCACGGGCGACAGATCTGGTTGACATTCCTGCTGTCAGCATGCCAATTGCACGCTCCCTCATTGCTTGTGGCATCTGTGGCATTTTGCTGTGAGACAAAACTGCACATTCCAGGGTGGCCTTTTGTTGTGGGCAGTCTGAGGTACACCTGTGCACTACTCATGATGTCAGATCAGCATCCTGATGTGGCACACCTGTGAGGTGGGATGGATTATCTCAATATAGCAGATGTGCCCACTACCACACATTTGGACTGATTTGTGACCACTGTTTGGGAGGGATGGTTATATTGTGTATCTGGAATGAATTTTAGGTCTCTACGTCCATCCCATGGGGAATGGGAGCAGTAACAAAGGTGTTGCGTTTATATTTTTGTTCAGTGTATGAACTCTGGGAAAACGACTGATACTGAAAGCGATAGTGTGGACGCAGAGCGTTTTTTAGACACAACCGCCATTTTCAAATCTATCCGGGCTAGTGTGGGTGTAGCCTGAGACCTTGAAGTCAGCATGAAAGTGTTCATTTTCTCACCGACCTGTAGAAGAGCCATTTGCTCACCATTAAAAACGATACTTTGTGAAAAATGTGAAGGCTGATGCTAAGTTTACTCTGACTTCAGAGAAGTGCTGGAACCTCTACAGGCTCAGAAACTGTGAGCGTCTGACTCTTTTTGGGACTTCAGAGGCATTTCTGTCAGTGTCAGTGCAGCAGTAAAGTGACAGATCAGCCTGCAGAGTGAATTAAAATAGACAAGCAAAATTGACCTGATATGTGAACGACATCAGTGTATTGATGTTGTCGTACGTAAGAAACCAGCTTCATTCGAAACCTGCTCACTCCAAACAGCCAGCAGGGCGAGGAGGAGTCCTCTCGATTTCTGGACGCATTTTCACGGCTTTACCTGAAGTTTGACTGTTAGCCCTCACTGAGTTAGAGCTTTTTCTTTGACAGTGAAGAACCGCTTGGCTCCAGCCGCCCCCAGACAGCATCGATGAGCTCTTCCATTCTGATTGCTTCTTGGTTTTCACGCTGTGCAGTGAAGCTAATTTTCACCAAAGTTGGAAATTTTAACTCTTGAACACAGATTCTTCTTCAGGGTTTTTGCTGTATGTTAAAACTTTTGGTGGCCAACAGAGGACAATCATCATGGCTGATTCAAACAGTTTTTAAACGATTTTAATTCTTAATTCTGTTTTATTTTAAAAAGTCTTTGCTTTTAATGCGTGTTTGCCAAACTCGTTTATATATATTTATAAGGACTCGTTGAGTCCTTCATCAGCAGGAAATTTAAATCTGGAGTTTTTCTGCCTCCATGTGGTCTGAACGAGTTAATGCATCATGATTTTTTTTCCAATCAGTTTTTATAATGTGAGACTGAATTTACTGAAGTTTAAATTTATTTAATTTTAGTTGCTTAAATAACATCAAAATGCTCTACGCCTGTTCATTGCATTAATTACATGCAGACCAGTTGTGCAGTTTTTCTAATGAAGCTTTTCATTTTGTCCTGTTTGTTGATTTTATCTTTTCTTTTCTTTTCCTGCAGACTTCCACGTCCCCTCAGAGTATTTAACCAATATCCACATAAGGGACAAGGTACCTCCTTCACAAGACACCCCAAAGGTCCTTTACATGATTGTTATGAGACTGATCTCCTGAAAAATGTGTCCGTATTAATCTGTCTCTCTCTCTAACCTGCAGTTAGCAGCTATCAAGTTGTCTCGGTATGGTGAAGATCTGCTGTTTTATCTCTACTATATGAACGGAGGAGACCTCCTACAACTGCTGGCTGCTGTAGAACTGTAAGAGCGACCGGTCATTACTGCACCCTAATCACACTAAGTCAGTCACCACGTGGGTGGAAACTAAATTACTTTGATGTTTGGATGAGAAAATTGCTTGAAACTGAGATAAAAGTAAGATTTCATAGTTTCCTGTTGTGCTGGCGTTCAGTGCAATCAGTTTTTTAAAGAAATCCGCTCACCAGCTTCTTGTCATCACCAACAAACTCTCCACTTTTCCATACTGATCTAAAATACATCCTTCCATATTAAGATAAGTCTGCAAATGTTTTTTTTAATGATTGAATCTATTTTTCAGAAGCTTCTCATCTTTTTAAAATGTTTTAATCTTCATTACAAATAAAGATTAAAGCATCCAAAAGAACCCCAGGCTGTCTGAAATGTCTCTCTGCGTTTATGATGGTGTACAAGCTGTTTAAAGCGATCATTTCCGCGTGTGTGTGCGTGTCCAGGTTTAACAGGGACTGGAGGTATCATAAAGAGGAGCGGGTTTGGATCACTCGAGCTCCGGGGATGGAGCCCACACTGAAGACCAACGCCTATGAGAGAGGGACCTACTACTTCTTCGACTGCCTCAACTGGAGGAAGGTGGCCAAGGTGAACGAACACACACGCACACTTTAAATCAGCACCAGGATGTGTTGCCTACATTTGATCAGGTTGACAGTTCTCAGATCTTGATTTCATGAAACTGGTCCGAGTGTTTGAACACTCAGTACTAAAGACTGCATTCGTACAGCTGTGTGGTGGTAAGGGCAGCTCCTTCTGCTGCTATCCGTGTCTCAGCCTCTAAAAGAGCTCCTCAGGTGAAAAACTAAGTGAAGAAGAAGGTTCTACTACTTTTTTCCCCTCCAAGGGAGGAAGAACATACAGAGATCTGATGAACCGATCATTACTGAAGTATTTTTGAGACTTCATCTCTGCGAGGAATGTTTGTTGTTTGTCCTGGATCTGTAGATCTGCTTGAAATGAGGTTCAGAACTTCTGTTTGATTTTATTGAACAAGTCTACATTTGAGAACAATTATATTCTGGAAAAAAAAAGCTAACTGTTTTAATAGTAAAATGTGATTGGATCAAATAAAAATATGCATTTGTATCCCATTAAATCCAAAGCTAAAATTTCATTTTGAAAGTAAACACAGAATATGATGAACGCTGTGTACAGTCGATGACAATTTACCACTTTGCTCCTCGTTTTCAGGAATTTCATCTGGAATATGACAAACTAGAAGAGCGACCTCACGTTCCCTCCACCTTCAACTACAATCCTGCCCAGCAGGCCTTCTGATTGGCTGTCTCTCCTACTGCCTGCCTGCCATTGGCCCTCCTGACCCCATTAGGTTTTTCCACCGGCACACACTGAACGGGGAGGACATCCTGGCTCCTGTCCTCCTCTCTGAACAGACTTCATCCTTATATTTTTTTTCATATTTTTGTTCCTTCTTTACCTCATTATCGTTATTATTATTTTTTTAAATTTCACACTTCTCCATCAGTTTGATTTGGCTGGTCTGTGAAGTGGACCACAGACTCGATACACAGACACAAGCACTGCAAAGTGTCCATCTGATTGAGTGACTCATGTTTCTGCTCAGTCTTAAGAATCGACTATTTTTGTCTCCAGAAGCTTTTAAGAGAAACCAGATTTTAACACAGGAAGTGATCACCTTTCAGGATGGATAATTATTTCCCACTGTGTCGCACCTCTCTGAAACCTGGCGATATCTTTAACCCACTCTCTTTTATCAGGTTTATCCCCCAGCATTACAAACCAGAGCACATCATCAGACAGTCAGGAGGACATGCAATGTACATTGTAGCACTATTTCATAATAAAAGAGGAAAAAATATCCTTTTTTCCCCCCTTTGGTTCCTTTGTGTTATAAAGCGGGTTTAATTTAAAGAGACAGGTGAGAGTGCAGCAGGTGATTTCATACTGCAGGGAGGTCTTTCACAGGTGGACACGTTCCCTTTATACCTCGAGGAAAAGGCAGGAAATCTCTCTCTTTTTTTTTATTACGTTTTTTATACATATTTCACCATCTGCAGTTATTTTATCCTCCTGAGGTGGCAGCCTGTTTAAAAATGAAAAAGACATTAGGTTTTTGGGTTTTTTTTGTCATTTGAAAGACAGAAATCTGAGGTGGCATTTAAGAAAACCGATTTGTCTTTCTGGATGATAATGGTGTTAAATTGGAAATCTGGTGAATGCCATTTCAGATTTATCTACTACAAATCTTGTTTTCAGCTTTTTCAAGATGGAGAAAAAAGAAAATAGTTTCTTTTTCTTTTTTTAGATTTTCCTCCTTTGTGTCGGATCATATGTTAGTCCATGCAGAAGTCAGCTTTAGTTTGGTGAAATAACTGACACTTGCCATATAAGAACAGTTACAACAAAAATAATTTTGAGTTTTGCTGCCTCATAATCGGCCCTTGGGGGTTCTCACCATAGTAAACAGGGCTGTTCGGTAAAGCAAAGGGACTCAGTTTGTCTTGCTTTATTTGAATAGAAATCAGCGCACTTTTCTCAAGTTCTCGTTGATTAGATAATCAGAAAATGTCTGCTATGTTTAAGTAAATAAAACCCCAAATCAGCTTCTCCTGGCTCTGGCTAAAACCTGATCAGGAGGCACCAATCACTACCCTGACCTTACAGCTACAAAGACGTTGGGATGATTGGTGATGCTAATGTTGTCTGTTGTTCTCTGTTAGCCTGTTCAGGGTTTAATCTCCCAGCTTATCCCACTGTCAGTTTATCCTGAGGATAAGTGGCCATAATATTTAATAGGATGGATTTATTGTTGGATAGCTGCACCTATTTCTACTCCTGCGATCTGTTTGATATTTTAATTGTTATTCTTGCAAGGCTTCTGCCTGGAGATCAAAAACTCAAACTCTGCTGCCTGTATCCACTTTTAAAGATTACAGTTACTTGCTGCACTGAAAGCCCCCCACAGTGAGTCACACAGTTTCCCACTGAGCGGAGGTCTGTACTGAAATGCAGAACCTGGGGTTTAGTGAGGTAGCTTCAGGTTTAACCCCAGGTGCTCCATCAGCACATGTAGAAAGCTCCACCTGCTGCTTTTCACCTATTTTATGTTAATTTTTGTTAACACTGCTCTCTGCTTCTCAAACTTCCTATTTCTTCACCTTTAACATTATTTTCTTTTTTTTTCTTTTTTTAAAATTAAATTTTGTCCCAACTGTTTTCTGCCCGGTAACAGTCAAACCAATTGGATCCTCATGACACCACCACCACCTTGCTTGTAAGCTACAGCCAGGAGATAATTAGCATCATTAGCAAAAACACTGGAAGTGGACACTGGCAGCCCGGCTCTCATGGGTCTGTTTAGTTTAATCTGCTACATACACGTTGTTGTGTTGGGACCAGTTAAAACTATACTCCAAGGAAATTCTGATTTTTACACTTTTTAAAGCCGCTTAAACAAACATACCATCCTAATCGTGAGGTGCTTTTCTTGTGGGCAGACCTAAGCTACCTGTTAAAGCCCATTCAATCTTTATGCTAAGCTAATTAGCTCATAGCTGTAGCTTGAGAAAGTTTCAAAAATCAAAAAATCATCCCAAAAAGTTTTTATTTTAAGGCTTTGAATTTTTCATATCTTTAACTGCCAGGAGACACCAGTGTCCAGTTATGTATATGTATTTTAAATATGTATACATAAAAGTGAGGCAGTATTTTTATGGAAAACAAAAAGGGGTAAAAACGGAAAAGAAACCCCTCCCTCTTCAGCTGGCCGTCACTTAACGATGCAATACTCCACTTCCTGTCATGGAGATGGTTTCCAGGGGACCACGCCCGACTCCGCCCACCTACTAGCAACAACAATCACTGGGGGAGGGGAGGGGCCAGCTAGTTCGCACTGCAGCAGCAAAGCCAAGGACACGCCCACAGACCTGTGTGACCTGTCTGAGGAGTTTTGATTGGAGGATGAGGACTGAGGCACTTGGCCGTTGGCTGTTTTATTAAATATGGCAGCTAGTGTTTTAATAGAAAAAGAATAAAATAAATATTCTGGTAATGAAACTGAAACATGACTCCTGGGTGTTTATTTGTGTTTGTGTCAATCTTCGAGGAGCCAAACCTCCAGTCAGGTCCATAATTCTGTAAATTATTCCTATATAGAAGTATTTATACTTTGTGTGAAGATGGCTTTAATTCGTAAACAGTTAACGCAGCATTTTTATGAAACCCTCTGATTAAAGCTGAACATCAGAGCTTTAATTTGTCAGTTCTAATACTTCTGGTCATGGCTGTAGTTTAAAGTGAGGTTTGTTTAAATGTGGAAACCATTCAAGTCAGTCTCACTGGGTCTGTCTCATCTGTTTGAACCCTCGTCTTTATATTAATTTGTCCTCAAAAGCTTACTGCTCAATATTTGTGTTTAACAGTCAGTTTATTGCAGCTTCATTATCTGCTTAAGATCAACAATGAGACTAATTTCAACTCCACGTTTAATTTGATTCAACTCCACTATGGAGTCAATAATTAAAATAAACTGTGATTTTATTCAAATTTCAGCCTCACTGGACTCAAATGGATCCAAACAGCAAGCAACGTTTTCCTCCACTGAGAACCCGGTTGTAAATATCGTATAAAGATCAGGCTCAGTTTGAACCATTTTCTCAGACTCACAATCAGTAAACAGGTTAGGAAAGTTTCCTCGTCTTTTACTGAAGGACCTTTGGACCATGATGTTCTGCTCGGCTTTAACAGCTGCAAGTAAATGTGAAATGGCGTGAATGCTCATTCACCTGTCCTAGAGGTGTAACTTGCAAAATTAATATAAAAATTGTTTTGTCTGCTGTTTCAGGGTTTGTCCAGCAGAGGGAGCCACATGTCAAAGGACGATAAACGGTAGGAGGCTGCTCTTCACCGTGTGAGGTTCACTAAATCAATTAATCTATAAATTATCAATAAATATAGCTAAAGTCAGTCATCGAGTACTTCCACAGAGTTAAAGGGTTCATGTTAAATAATTTAAAGCTTTTTTCTTTTTTTTCTTTTTTTTTTTTTGGCCTGTCCCGTTTGGCTCTTTTGCCATCAGAATTGTTGTCTAAAGGCAAAGAAAGATACCCAACGGATTTACTTTACCAATTTAAAGCTTTTTTCACCTAATCGGTGAAGTGACTTTTCATTGACTGTGGGAGATTTAAAAAAAACAGTTTAATGGAGACATAAACCTGCAGGAAGAAGACAGGTTTATATCCCAGAGGTAAATACACAGACTGTAAATGAGTAAAGGAACAGGATAAGTGGATTGTAGTGCAGCGGTAGATTAAAACTGTGGTGTAACAAACCAATGAGTATAAAGAGAAAATTTGAGGTGAACACTGAAAACAAATTACCTCAGATATTTAATTCAAATCGCTGAGTGTTAGAGAAATGATCATGATGATGAAGAGATCTTCAATCTCTGTGATCAATAGTTTTGCTTGGAAAATTGGAATTTCAGTCTCAGTTTAAACATTTAAACTTTTCTTTTAAACATTTCTCTCTGTGCTCTAATACAAAGGTGAACCTTTGCTGCTTCTCCTTGTGTTAAATATGTTTTCATATTTTTATGTAACTGCCCTCTAAACACAGTTATGTAACCGAGCAACAAACTAATCTAAAGTGAAACAAAGAGTGTGAGAGCGAGTGGGTGAATGTGAGAAGTTAAAACTTCACTTTATTTGTTAATTAGCTCGTTTCTTTTTATTAAAGCCAGGAAAAAAATTCCATCACACAGTTTCCTTAAAGAGTCTCACAACATTAACCGAGAACGACGTCGTGACTCCACCTTTGCTGCCTCAAACAAATCCAAACTACACTAACCTGTTTGGAAGGAGTAGAAACATTAATGAGCGTCACATTCCCAAGGCGAGAGCTGGGATTATTTGTCCTGTTACTGTGAAATAATCTGCCGTGCATGGAGGGAAACTCACTCCATTTTGCTGGTTTAATTAAGTCTGCAAACAACCAGCCATTTATTCTCATTTTTAATATTAAGTCTTGAGTTTTAGGCCATGCTGGGAATGACAGATGTAGATTATCCATCCATCCATTCGCTTCCGCTTCTCAGGGTCGCGGGAGGCGCTGGAGCCTATCCCAGCTGTCATAGGGCGAGAGGCAGGGTACACCCTGGATAGGTCGCCAGTCTGTCGCAGGGCCAACACACAGGGACAGACAACCATTCACACTCACACCTAGTGAATTTGGATTATCCAATTAACCTATCCCCACAAGCTGCATGTCTTTGGACGGTGGGAGGAAGCCGGAGTACCCGGAGGGAACCCACGCAAACACGGGGAGAACATGCAAACTCCACACAGAAATGAACTCAGGACCTTCTTGCTGTGCGGCAGCAGTGCTAACCACCGTGCCACCGTGCTGCCCAGATATGCAAAATTCAAATCTACATCTGTTCTGGT